CATTCTCTCTCTCTCTCTCACACACACACACACACACACACACACTCATACACACACACACATATATTCTCCTGTCTATTGATGGGGAGCGCCACCTGCTGGAAACTGGGTCCAGCGTCTCATGAACATTGTGAATAAAGCACCAACCGGGACCCCACACACACACTCTCTTCGAGTTGTGTATAGCAAACATGATAAAACGAACTATGGGCTGCGCACCCGTGCCCTCACGGTAAGTCAATAACCGAAACCCTAAAGAAAAGCATTTCCATCCAGCATCCGGGAAAACATCCTGAAATTCCCCCAACTGAACACTAAGTGACCGACCTTTCACCTGGGGAACAACCGACACCACCTCTTTATCATGGATTGATGGCCGAGCAACCCCTGATGATTGAAAAGGCTGTAGTCTAACCCAATCCCACCCGGTGCCGAACAGAGAGGTGCAAAGGATGAATGGCGGGAGACTCCACACATTATCACCCGTGGGGGATGTTAAAAAAAATAAAATAAAAAATGATATCATCATTGAACTGACCGGCCCCAGGTTCTTCTGTTCATCTGATTGCATCTGGATTCGAACTTGGGTCCGTATTTCAACAGTTCATAGGTGTACCAAATGAGCTTGTAGGCCCTTTGGTACCTGGAACTTCATCCTGATAAGAATCACATAGTCACTGGCATGAGAATCCAGTGGCGAACGGGTGGGGTGGGGTGGGGTGGGGTGGGGTGGGGTGGGGTGGGGTGAGGGGCTTCCATGACAACCTAAGGGGCCGGTTATAGTCTTGGTAGTGAGAACACGACAGCTACCGTCTTCACCTGAATAGAACGTCTGGTAATTATCGCCGTATCTGGGCTGAAAGTTGTGCCGAATACAGCTATAATGAACGGGCGTTCTATTCGGGTGAAGACCGTAGGGCTGGTATTGGTTAGGATGATATTGTCGTTGACTCTTTGGAGTGCTGCGTCTGGTATAAGGGAGTTGCCCAAGGATAGTGAGGCCAGGTTTTGCTGACGTAGTTGATCATAGAGTAACATCATCACCATGATCATCATCACATCATTATCCTCAGGGACGCCTGGCCGGGTTCCCAGCATGTACTGTTGTACCAACTCAACACTGTATCTCAGGGGATGCTGGACCCGCTTTCCAGCAGGTGTAGCTCCCCACCAATAGACTGGAGCCCCCTGCAAGACAGGGGTAGGAGTGCATGCTCTTACCATCACCCCTATGTGTTTTCCAGGGGGCAAGTAACAAAAAAAATAAAAATAAAAAAAAGAAAGAAAAGAATTAGCCCGTTTCTTGGCGGCCCTGCCTTACTGGTCTGCTGCAAAATATAGCAACAACCGGTTGGCCTCTAGGTACTTTCCGGAACAGGTAAGTGCGCGGAAATCGGTGTTGTTATAGGGAGCAAATGAGATTTTGGGGAGCTATACCTTCCCTCTTAGGTAATAACAGAATGGAAGAAGCTTTTAGGGGAATATGGCCATGCATCTGGCTGCCTTTGCAACCTAGGTACGTAGTAGGGTTGGTTACAAGTAGCACCAGAAGCCTCAGGAGAGGTTAGCTCCGTGAATATTGCAGGCAAATCCCTAACTCTGGAAAACAATTCCAAGAAGTTTCTTGTTTGAGCCATACCCTTGAACATTTTGGTATTTTTTTTTACGGAATTGTAGAAGATGAAGAATGCAATGGTGGAAGTTGATGACAAAGGGCTTTGCTGCATCACTCTGAAAAGCTGCGTTTTCAAGAGTGGGCATGCTGCTGCACTGGCCGACGAAACTGTGATGGGAAAAGACTATTTGACAGCTGTCAGAAAGCACATGCTTGTAGAGAGCGCTCTTGAAAATGGAATGAACGTCATGGCAACAGCCCAGTACTCTAGAATCCTCCTTCCTGCTCTCGACACCAAGCAGATGACATTTCCATCGTCGATAGCTTGCCGGCTGGCCACGACTACCGTCTTCCCTGAAACACAACGCTCCGGTCCCTCATTATGGCTGCATCCCAACCGGAAAGCTGGCTTGTATACATTCAGAATCAGGGTGCGTTATGTTTGAGGGAAGATGGTAGTCTGTTCAGAAAAGACAAACGGTTGCTTCGAGAACAGATTGGGTCGAGTTTGTGTGAACAGCTCGGTGTGGTGATGTGGCAAAAGGGCCTCGCTCCGCTATGCCGCCATAATTTTTGTCATTTTGTGCATGCGTGCATGTTTGTGCGTAGTGGAGCGAGGCCCAAAGAAATATACAGAGAGGATTGGATGCACAGTAGGACATATTCACACGTCACTGTATAGGGACACTGGACCCAATTTCCAGCTGGTACACATCACATCATTGTACAGGGACGCTGGACCCGATTTCCAGCAGGTGCAGCTCCCCACCAATAAATGGAGCCTTCGACGCTGGGGCCTACTTATCGGGGCTGCTCTTATCACCTCGTTGAGTAGGTTTTTCCCGTATATGAAGTTAAAAAAGAAAGAGAAAAAAAAAAGAAAGGGGCATCTCTCCACAATTCCTGTGTTGAGAGTCCTGTCTTCAAAAGATTGTGAGGTAGGACAGTGGAAACTTCTGGGCCCAAAAGGTATGGTACCGTCTTCACCCAAATAGAACGCCCGGTCGTTATATACGTATCTGGACTGAAAAGTGCACCAAATACGGCTACAATGACCAGGCGTTCTTTTTTTTTTTTTTTTTTTTTTTTTTTTTTTTTTTAAGGGCCTAGTGCCGAAGGCTCCAATTATGAGATTGATTTCAACACTTATATGCACGTCTCTTCCCATTAGGGCTGGAAGAGCCTCAGCGACTGCTCCCCTAGAGACAGCTTCCCTATATAACACGAATATAGCATAGTCACGGGGCATTGATTGCTACCCCAGTGAGGAAGGAGTAACCCCGTTGTGTGCAGAATCAATCTCTGCGCTACGGGACTCCTCAATTATTCCTACTTCAATCATCTGCGCAGTGAGGAGTAGGGGAGATACAAATAGGGCAAAGAGAGTGATAACAAGGCCAGAAAGTTTAGTAGTTCCTCAGTAATTGCGACGAGCTTCCCCTAAACAACATTAACACAGACGGAAACCAAAGGGGAGCCCACTAATTAGGAGAAAATTCAGATCTATACGTAAAGACCATCAAACCAAGTCAAACCCTAACGATGGTGACCAAGGATTGAATATAGCCCCATGAGATGGGCTGAAATCAAGCACCACAAGAGAGGAAGAATTCACCAAACTAGGGGGATCAACACAGATGAGAGAAAAAAGGAGGGGGGGGAGAGAAAACAACCAAGAAGTCACCCCTTCCTCCCAAACCCCCTCTCCACAGCCTCTCTTCTTCCTCCCGAATCCTACGGGAACAACTCATCATCCTTCCACCCGTCACCGCATCCCCAGATCAACATCAACTCATACATGACAGAATTTTCATGCGAGAGGGCGGGAAGAGATCGAACAGCCCTCACCTTAGCAGCTGACCCATTGACAGATCTTGGTTGGACACCGATTGTGTCGATCGTAGTGAGCAAGACAATCATGGCTGGAAATTGGGGCTCATTGGACACTCCTCGGGGCGTCCTCGGGGCCCGAGGAGTTTTCCTTTAGGTCGCCCAAGGAATTTCCCACCTTCGTTGCACTCGTCCTCGGGACGATCGCCCGAGGACGCTCCGAGGATGAGCCGCGGGGATGTTCAAAATAAAATACACGGCCGCGGGTCGGGGCTATGGGCGATGGTCCATGATTTGATGTCCGGGTGGTCTGGAGTGGTCCGCCTCTGGGCGGCTGGAAAATTCGAAATTCGGCGGCGGGGTCGAAAAAAAAGGAACATGCGTGCGCGGGTCTCCCTTTTCGAAATTTGAATTTCGAAAGAGGTCGGTGCAGCACAGGCATATCAGCTGGGGGCTGCGGCGAGTGGTGGACGACGTGAGCGGGGAAGCACATCCTTCGATTGCGCGGTGGCAGGGTCGGCGCGTGGACAAGCGTTCGGCCATCACCATTAAGAGGGGAACAGTGAAGACGACGACATCAGTGAGGTCGTCATCGCATCATTGCACACCGATAAGCAGATAACGTCCTGCGAGCTTTCAGAGCGTCCATCGTCGCGCCAACCTCGTGGCCGTCACGAGTCGCGTTTTGGTCGTGTGTTGTCGTGTCGCCGAAGTCTGTTGCCCGAGGTGAAGGCGATGTCTTCTACACCCTGTGTGGCGATGGGGAATGTCGGCGATGACCAGCGTGCGAAGCTGTCGACGACGAAAAGGACAGCGGTTTCCGCGACCGTTACCGTTGTTCTTCTGCGATGCCCGATGTAGAGAAGTACGGGAAGAATGAACGTGTAGCTTCGCGCACGGAGGAGGAAGGCGATGCAGTCGTTGGCGGCGGAAGGGTTGGACACCGCTGCCATCTGCGACG